GCCGGTGACGCTGCAAACACAACCGCCCCACCAAGCCCACCATAAACATGTTGCTGCAGCTGTTGTTGTTGTTGTTGCAGCAGCAGCTGCTGTTGTTGTTGCTGGTGGCGAGGGTGCTGGAACTGGGAAGCCATAGCCATCATGGCCATCGCTGCCTCCGTTGTGTCGGCATCCACGTCGCTCGGTGCCACTGTCGATCCTGAAGTAAACAGCGGGTGGGACACCATGGGTGGTGGTGGTGGAAGCCCTGGCCCTGCTGCTGTCCCTGCCGGCATGACAAGGCCATGTTGGGGATTCAGCATCATTGGGCCGCGCATGCCAACACCAGCACCACCGCCAACCACGCCGTAGCCTGGAGATAAGGCTGGGTGCGCGCCCACAGGCATTGGCGTGGGCGCCACAGTCACGGGGAAGCCCAGCTGCTGGCCAGCCATGAGCGCTGCATGTGCTGACGTCACAGCAGCACAGGTGGTAACGGTCGTGAAGGGCGCAGGGGTGATCGATGTGGTCGAAGTGGTGGAGGTGGCTGCATTGATGGCGCCAGTACCTAGCACGGCGGCGCTGTTTGCCGTGCTGCCGGTGCTGGCCATGGCAGAAGACAGCGATGAGGATGACGATGATGACAACGTTGTGCGCAGCATACCACCCACCGTTGCTGCTGCTGCCGTTGTTGTCGTTGGCGTTGCTGTCATTGCTGTGGTTGGCATAGTTGTTGGGGAGGTGGTTGCAGCTGTCTCCGTCACGAGTGCTGATGCCTCTGCCATGTCTCCTTCGGCAACACCCTCGTCTTCTTGCTCATCCCCATCTACGCGCACTCGCCCTCGGTGCTGTTGCTGTTGCTGTTGCTGTTGCTGTTGCTGTTGTTGTTGCTGTTGTTGCACTGCTGTGGACAGTGGTGCCTGACGTGTTGCCTGTGTCGTCACCCCTGACGACTGGCCGTGTGCATCAAACGGACTGCCGTCACACGCCGCAGCCCGTACAACAACACCTGCCGCAGGAGTTGCAGTCGTGGCGACTGCACCAGTAACAGTTGCTGTCGTAGTCGATGCAGCTGCTGTCGCGGTCATGGAACGGCGGCGTTTGGAGCGACGAAGCGTTGTCCGCAGCACAAGCACGCCCTCGGGGGCAATCACATAGCACGAGTACACGCCACCGCCCAAGGGCTGACCAGGAGTGATAGCGCCACCACCACTGCCACTCGCACGCACCGTGCCCGACTGCAGGCTCACGGCAAGCGCAGGGCACCCCGTCTCAAGCTTCTTCACCATGCCAAACGCCTGGCAGTCGAAAAAGGCCACAGAGCCGGTTGGGGATAGCACCGCCAGCATGTCACCGCACAGCGAGCCTGCGATGGGGCAGATGCGAAGGGGGATCGACTTGCCCGTGCCACGCTTCAGGTTGAGCAGCACGAGGCGCACGCGCTGCGTTGTGCCGTCGTTATCCATAGGGAAGCGCAGCAGGCACAAATACGCGTCAGACATGTCGAGAAGGACACCGGGCACGGGTTGGCACGCCATGGCACCAGAGGGCAGGATGAGGGCGGTTGCGTCATCAGCCTGCGCCGCATACATGTAAGCACCTGCTCGGATAGCTTGCACTGCAACACCTTGCACACAGTGCACGCGCGATACGGAAATGTGCATGTTGCTGTTGCTGCTGTTGCTGCTGCTGCTGCTGCTGCTGCTGGTGCTGGTGCTGGTGCTGGTGCTGGTGCTGGTGCTGGTGCTGGTGCTGGCGGTGGTACCGGTGACGGAAGCACCACTAATTGTTGCAGCGTTTGCTGTGACTGCTGCTGCTGCTGCTGCTTGGTTGTGGGCTGGTTGTTTGGAGGCCTTTGCGCTTGTTGCCGCTGTTGTGGCTGCCACCAAAGTCATGGCTTGTGCTGCCATCTTCGTCGCTGCTGCTGCACGGCCGTCGAAAGTGGTGATGGTCGCGTGCAGGAGCACGCCGCTTGTGCACAGGATGACGAGAATGCCATCAGCACCAACAAAGGCCAGCTGCCGCACGCACCCCGGCAACGGCACCCGCTCCCACCTGCACACGTCGATGCTGCCAAGCACAGCATCGCCCTGTGCAACATAGACAGCTGTGCCCACAGCAACGGCTGCACGCTTGTGCAACGTGCTCAGCGCACACACCGGTGGCTCCTGCGCCATGCGCGCAGTGTAGCAGTCGTCAGGTAGCATGCCATTGAGGCGCTCAAATGTGACAAATGTGTGCTGGCACGTGAGGGGCTTGAAGCTGTGCAAGCCCTCTGGCGTCGTGCACAGCCCGTAGTCGCCGCAGAACGCATACCACAACGGGTGTTCGACGTCCGACACCCAGAACCGCGGGCCCCACTGCTTGGTCATGGGCAGCACAAACGTCTGCACATGGCGGCTGCTTGTCAGGCACACCCCGAGCATGCCAGGCCGCTGCAGGTAGCAGTAGGTGGGCGCATCCTCAAGGCGTCGTCGCGTCACCAGCACCGCTTGCATTGTGTCGTCCTGCACCGTGGATGACACTGCCCACACGCTCATGTCGCCGTGCGGGCGTGTCTTGCGTGCATGCATGGATCTGGGGTGTCGTTGCGGTTGCAGCTGCGACTGGCCGGTGCCGGTGAGGATGAGGGAGCCATCCCCATTCATGCTGATGCAGTGCACGGGGCTGTCGCTCACCGTGTGCGTGAGCGCCACGCGTGCAAGCGTGGTCTGCACCACATGTACGCGGCCACAACGTGTGCCGACAGCAATGCGTTTGCCGCACAAGCTCATGGCCATGCAAATGCACCGGTCCATGTTGTGGTCGTGGTCGTTGTCACTGTCGGTGTCGTCGTCCTCATCCTCGTGCTTTGCGTCAGGGGCAGCAACAGCAGCAATGGGGATGGTGGCATAGGCCGTGAAGCTTGCATTGGGAAGGCCGACACATGCCATTGTTGATTGGTGCGCGTGCTCGCCTGTCTTCTCCTTCCGTTGGTGTTGCAGCTCGCCAAGGCCAGGAGCGCCGTGACTGGACGCGGCAGAGGAGGCAGAGACTGGGTGCGCCCCGGCTTTGCGCCAGAGCACGAGCAATCCTCGCGTGCACAGAGTGGCAGCCAGGGTGCCTGATTGGTTGAACGCAGCGCCAACGACGGTGCCCACGTGCGGCGAGTCAGGCACACGCTTGGCCAAGCGGGAAGTCAGCTCCCAGAAATGCACAGCGCCGCTGGTGCCGCCGCTCACGGCGTAGGCCAGACTTGGCGTGGTGGCGAGGACCGTGGTGTTGCGTGGCATGCAGTCATGTTGGTCAGCAGCAGTGTCAAAGGGCCGGCGCTGCAGCACAGAGTCCACAAACCGCCACGAATACACCTTGCCGCTTTGTGTGACAGCCACCAGCATGTCTCCGTTCTCAGAGCACGCACACGCCGAGAAGGACACACCCTCGTCTTCTGCGTCTTCACGCTCTTCCTCCACACATTCAGGCACAACTGTGTCATCGCATTGACCATCATCATCCTCGTCCTCATCCTCATCATCGAGTGACGCGTCCATGCTCTTGTGTGTGGGTGTTGTTCTTGTCGCAGCTGAGGTGGATGAGCTTGCCTTGTCTCCATCTCGTACAGGTGCAAGCGCATCTCGGTTCGTCAGTTGAAGCGTGTCTGTGTTGCATGCGCGCATGCTTTTCTCTGTTGCTGCGCTGGTGTTGTGATCGTGCGGCTGCTGTTGTTGTTGATGATGCGGTTCTGGCTCCCACGAAGCGAGCAGATTGCCCTTTCGAAGCGACCATGCTTCGACACGACCACCAACGCACACGCAGAATGCTGTGGATGTCTTCTCACACACTGCCATGTCCATGACACGGTCCGCGGCACGCAAGCTGCTGATGAGAGCCGGGGCTTGAGCGGTTCTCTCGCTCATGATTGGTCTCCGGCTTTGCTAGGAGCTGTGCGTGCGTGCGTATATGCGCGCGTGCGTATATGCGTGTGTGTGTGTGTGTGTGTGTGTGTGTGTGTGTGTGTGCGTGCGCGTGTGTGTGTGTATGTGTGTGTTGACAGGTACATGGACAGACGTGCAAATGTCACCTCTGCAAGTGCTGATGCACGCTGTCCAGCCTCACACGAGAGAGAGGGGGGAGACAAAGAGCAACGAAGTGGAAGGAAGAGTGGTGCAGACGAAATGAGAAAAAGCTCTGCCACGAAGATGTCTACGATCAAAGGGCAGCGGTACAAGCGAGGGAACACCGCACGTCAGCGCGGACGAACAAAGGGTGACACTGCGGGAACTGAGATGGGCATCACAGCAACAAACAAGCGTGGTTACAAGAGCTTTGGAATGGTTTCAGCAACTCCACAACGCACGCATGCAGAACAAGTGCACACATAGATCACTTGCCATTCCAGTCCCGCAGTCTTGCTTGGTGGCATTGGGAAACAACACACAACACAACAACAAACGTGACTCGTACAAAGAGGTTGGTTGCAAGATTGGTTGAAAGCCGTCGCGAGTTCTTGGAAGAGAAACAAAGGGTGGGGCGTCTCTTCAGTTCTTTGTTTCAAAACTGTGCGAAAGATCCACAAAAAATACTACCCACCATGATGTAAATCCCACGTTTGATGCGTTCGGAGCAGGAGGATCAATCATGAACCAACGATAAGGAAGACAATGAATTTGTTTGGCATTCATACTCAACGACAAGGAAGGAAGCGACCAAGCGCAACACAAGTCATCTCTGTCAGGCCTCACATCACACGGCCAGCACCAGGCCTGAGTTCTAGCACGCGAGCGAGCAGCCCGTTGCAAACCGCACGACAACAATGCCCCGTGCGGTGTGCGTTGCATGCGACCAACTTTCCCCTGACAGGTAGGTTGTGTGCTCGTGCGTGCGTGCGTGCGTGTGTGTGTGTGTGTGTGTGTGTGTGTGTGTGTGTGTGTGTGTGTGTGTGGAGGTGTGTGTGTGTGTGGAGGTGTGTGTGTGTGTGGAGGTGTGTGTGGAGGTGTGTGTGGAGGTGTGTGTGTGTGTGGAGGTGTGTGTGGAGGTGTGTGTGTGTGTGTGTGTGTGTGTGTGTGTGTGTGTGTTTGTAAGTGGGTGCGCGTGTTTGTTTTGTGTGCTCGTGCGTTCCTCAGTGTTGGCCTGTGAGGTATCTGATACGCTGACACGGCACTGTGGGTTTTGCAGCGTGTTCTGCGGCTACTGTAAGGAGTTCTATTGCACCACATGTTTGGCCAACGACCAAGATCCGCACGATGCAGGCCAGCACATGGTGCGTACCAACGCGTGTTTGTGTTGTGTGTGTTGTGTGTGTTTGTTTGTCTGTTTGTCTGTTTGTCTGTTTGTTTGTGTGTGTGTGTGTGTGTTTCTGTTCTATGATTAGGGTGGACACATGCAGTGCCGAGTGGGCTGCTTCGTCCTTGGCATAACAATGAATTCACACCACCTACCTCTCTGTCTGGGGATGCGTTCCTTGGTGCCCTCAACACCTCAATGGCGACGGCAGCCCGCCGTCGCCTTTCCTGTGCACTTGCCGACTTCCAACGCCGCCTTGCGAGATGGTCGGCGCGCACGACAGCCACCACAGGCCATCTCATACCCAACGGTTTGTGTGCCCACCACGTGTTTAGCGAGCCTCCGTGCATGCAACTTTTGCTTGTTAGTGGGCGTGTGTGCCGTGAATGCGAGCTCTGGTATCACTTGAGTCTGAGAGTAGCGTGCACAGCCATCATTGTTCCCAACGCCACCAACGCCACCAACGCTCACCCCCACCTCTTCACCACACAAACACACGCACACACACACACACACACACACACACACACACACACACACACACACACACACACACACACACACACACACACACACATTTTCCATGCGCAATCCTTGCATCCCGTCACGGTCGCATCGCAGAACCATTACATGGACACGAGCACAAAGGACCTTGACACGCTTCCCGCGCCGCCTTTGGTTCGTCGACAAAAACGCCCTCCCCCGCTGCCGCGCCGGCGTAAATACAGCCCGCTTGGTGTGTGGTATGCGCCGTCCGTCAGCAAGATGGAGGCCAGTGCCATCCTTCGACACACGCCGCCAGGCCACTTTCTCGTGAGGAACGATGAGCGTGTTCCCGGCGCGTTTGTGCTCTGTGTTGCCCTGGACCAGTCCACCGCGCACATCCGCATTCACACCATGCGCCTTAAGGTACATGTACTGCCATGAGGCTGGCGAAGGCAGTGTTGACGATTATCTCATTGGGGATGCGGTGGGGTGGGGATGCAAGCACATGTGTACTCTCTCCTGCTCTTGTGCATGTCACACTGCGCTCTGAACAATTAACTGACAAGAACCTACGCTAACATAAACACACTCACACGCCTGAACGCACACTTGCACATACACGTGCACGTACACGCATACGCACATTCACACATGCGTACACACCACCACATACCTACACACGCACACACAACAGTGTGTGCGCAAGACCGTGACGTTGTTTGTCGTTGCAAGTGACCTTGCGTTTGAGTCCCTGTCAGACTTGCTTCGCTTCTTCCAGCGCACACCTCTGCATCGCATCGACCCGACACTGCAGGGGGTGCAGCTCACGCAGGGCTGCGGCACAGCAGGTGCGTGCTTTCTAGCACTGTGACGCTTGTGGTAGTGCGACAGTGTGTGGTTTAACCTCTGCCTCTGCACACCCTTGCCATTCGTAAACGATCTTGCAACGTACGTACACACATTCACACAATTGCACGTGTACCTCCACATTTTCCAGACTTTCAGGTGGATGGCCTGCAGGCATGCATGACGCTGAACGCCGGTGTGAACGCAGAGCACTTGCCGGAGCGCCATGTCTCTTTCTCGCTTCCGTCTGGCAGACAAGGTTGCACACTGTCCGATGCCCCTGCAAATAGCAGTTGTGAGGGCGACACGATGACAGCGACCACAGCAAGTATATCCACCAGCAGTGGGGTTGGTGAGCGGGCTAGGGAACCAGCTGACGCAACAGCGAAACGGAATCACGCATTCAATCGCGTGCACACACGTGGGAGTACAAGGAGCGACGATGAGCGGGATGAGGACGCGTGGGGTCGAGGTTGGCACCGGACTGCAACAGGGAGCTCCACGGACGCATCGATGGAGGACAGTGGGAACGACGCAGAGCTGCCATTCAAGATGCTCCACACGCACGCACACGCACAGCGTACAGCAGCGCACACGGACACGCAGCGCGGTGGTGGTGGCAGTGGCTTTGGCGTGTATGGTGCACACATCGTACATGGTCAATATGGTGTGCAAGCAACGAGCGAGGCAGGGTGCGAGGGTGAAGTGGCGAACGGGCATGATGATGATGATGATGAGGAGGAGGAGGATGACTTGTTAGCAGCGGCGTTTGGGATTGGCGGCTTCATGCCAGAGCAAGCGCAACAACTGCAACTGTGAGGAGGTTGTGTGTGTCTATTTGTGTGTGTTGTGTGTGTGTGTGCATTGTGTGTGTGTGTGTGTGTGCATTGTGTGTGTGTGTGTGTGTGTGTGTGTGTGTGTGTGTGT